CACCCACCCCCCCTCTGGCTGCTGTCCTTTCTCTCCCCCTCCCCCCTGCCAGGAGGCCATGATGGATGGCACAGAGATCGCTGTCTCCCCGCGCAGCCTCCACAGCGAGCTGATGTGCCCGATATGTCTCGACATGCTCAAGCACACGATGACCACGAAGGAGTGTCTCCACCGCTTCTGCTCGGATTGCATCGTCACCGCCTTGCGCAGCGGGTATAGGGGCACTGGTCTCACCGGGCGACAAAGTGCAATAAAAATTCGTTTTTTTCATGGCCCAAAAAAGCGTGTGGGGCAGAAAATATTTTGTGGCACCCTCGTGATGAAATAAGTCTTTTTCCCTGGGAGATTTCGTGGCTCAGAATCCACCCGTTGGGTCCAAAGAAGTAAATTCAAGATGGCCCAGTTTCCACATTCCCCCCATCCCCACCCTGATGCTGGACTTTTCGCTTTGAATGATTCAATTGTACTTTTGACTAAAGGGTGACAGTTGTGTAAATCCATTGGTGGTGGGTCGGGCAGTAACTTCGAACACCTTTTTAAAATTTTTATTTAGCATTTTCTGGCAGTGGATCAGTGGATCAGCAGATGCTCATCCTATGGATAAGAAAGTCCCTCTGTACAGGCAACCTGTTAATTATATTTATTGCTTGCCATTAAAGGTGAAGGATGTGCAACACAGCCGCGGTGTTGTTGAGAGGGAACACGAACGAGCAATAATGGGGGCTTCCAGACCCTTCCTGATGGCTCCCCTTTTTTTTCTCCGGCAGGAACAAAGAGTGCCCGACCTGCCGGAAAAAGCTCGTCTCCAAGCGCTCCTTGCGGCCGGACCCCAACTTCGACGCCCTGATCTCGAAGATCTACCCCAGCCGGGACGAGTACGAGGCGCACCAGGACCGGGTGCTGGCCAAGCTCAACCGCCTCCACAACCAGCAGGCCCTACGGAGCAGTATGGAGGAGGGGCTCAAGATGCAGGCCATGAACAGGTAGGAGAGCCCAGCTTTCAAGGAGGGGCGGAAGAGCTTCATCGGCCCCTCGCATCGTTCAGGGGGGCCTCGAAAGCTGGCCACGATCCAGCAAAGTTGGAAAGGATGCTCAGTTCAGGCAAAAATGGAAAATCCCTTTTTTTTCCAAAATAAACCGGAGTGTCCCCTTCCTGGTGCTCTTATGGGAGAGGATTGGGGACACCCAAAACGGCCACAAAGGACGAACTGAGACTCTCCCCGCTCCCTACCCCAGGGTCCCCTTCTCTCGTTGACAAGGCAGAAGGGACTAATGGCCGGATAAGGGTCCTGTTCCTTTATTTGCCCTGTTTGTCAGTCCCGAGGATGGTGGAGGTGATGGTGATGGTGAAAAGACGAGCAGAAGAGCGTTTTTGAGTTGGCTGGACTGATCAGTGAGTTTAGTCTCTGTTTAGTTTAGTTTAGATGGGATTTTAGCGAGAGTTTTCACCTGAATTGCTCTGCTACCTTCTAGGCTATATTGGTTTTTACTGAATATTTTGGGACTCTTTTTTAGTTGTTGTTGTTGTTGTTGTTGCTTTAGAACTTTGTAAGCAGCCTTGCAAGTGCCGGGTCTTAAAAGAGGGGGGAATAGGATAAATGGAGAATAGAGCCATCTTGCGGTGCGGTGTTTCAACGGCCGCAATGCAGCCAAAACTCAGCTCACAACCCAATCCCAGGCAGTTGCCTCGAGGTTTGCGACGCCTTCTGTCCTTCTGAGGTTATTAAACTGAGTGTCCGGTTCACCGCGGAGAGCAATGTGTGGCCTGGGTAATTAAACTGTAATCTGCCCAGAGAGTGCTTTAAGCCCTCCGGGGTGGTAGATAAGCAGCAGGCATGGCTTTGAATGATTCAATTGTATTTTGACTAAAGGGTGACAGTTGTGTAAATCCATTGGTGGTGGGTCGGGCTGTAACTTCGAACACCTTTTTAAAATTATTATTTAGCATTTTCTGGCAGTGGATCAGTGAATCAGCAGATGCTGATCCTATGGATAGGAAAGTCCCTCTGTACAGGCAACCTGTTACAGTCGTGCCCCGCTTAATGATTGCACCGCGTTACGACGAATCCGCTTTACGACAATGTTTTTGCGATCGCAATTGCGCAAAACAATGGTCTAAATGGTTTTTTTTTCACTTTGCGAAGATCGGTTCCCTGCTTTGGGCTTGACTTTACTGTGTGGGGAAGGGAGAGATAAATAGGGAGATGAAGGGAGGGAATGGGGTAGAGAGAAAGAGGGACAGTAGAAAAAAGAATGAATGGTGGTGGTGGTGGTGGTGGTGATGATGGTGATGATTTACCACCAAGTCAATTCTGACTTAAGGCAACCCTTTTTCAAGGTTTTCTAGGTATAGGGGGTTCAGAAGTGGTTTCTCCTTCCTTTCTTTGGGGGGGGGGGCTTTCTGGGACTGTGCAGCTTGCCCAAGGCCACCCAGGCTGGCTCTTCTCTCAAGGAGACCCAGTGTGGGAATCGAACTCCCAACCTGATGTTCCCCAGCCAGAGGCCTAACCTACTGAGCAATCCAGTAGTGGGGAGGGAATGATGGGGGGGGGGTCAGGACTGGAAGGGGAGGCCAGCCATCAGGGCTACATGAGAGTAAAAAAACAAAAAACAAAACCCATGATTCAAAGTCCTGAAAGATGGGTGCTGGTTAAAGGAGGATTTTCGCTTTGGCTGTGCTCGACCCTCTTGGACATTTCCTACAAGGTGGGGGCAGGTGTTTCTCATTTTTTTTGAGGGGGGGCTGTTGTGCCAAAACCTCGTTGAGGGTGACGTGCCCCGAGGTGCTTTTCCTGTGAGGAGGCAGTTTGCTGGGGCTCGGGAAGATCTAAACTCAGTGTCTCTGAGGCTTCTGCTTGTGGGAACGCGAATTCTGAATTAAGCTAAGGTGGCCTTTTATTACATTTGGTTCCCATAAGGGTCCCTGGAACGGGGCTGTGTTTATAGGCAGTGCTGTAGAATCGGAAAATGGGGGTGCTCGGTTTTCTGGCCTGTCTTGGCAAGCAGAGAATGTTGGGGGACCTCAGAGATCCGCTAGTCCAGCCTTCCCTTTGTGCCGACCCTGGCAGAAAGCGGCCTGCCCGTTACCGAGACGCCACTGGGTGATGGAAAGGCCATCATCTCCCAAAGCAAGGCTGCCCCAGGAAACTCTGGTGGTAGAGGCTCCTCTAACTTTTAACAGCGGTTCCTTAATCATGCCCCATTCCTTTAAACTGGGAACAGAACAGAGAAAATTGAAAAGTTCAAGCCAGCTTAGTTATCTGGGATCAGTCTAGAATAAAGTTACTTTTTTGGGAAAACACTGGCCAGAGGTCCTCTTTCTTGTTTTTTTTTTTTACTTTGTTTTCTTCTGCACCACCAACTCTTGGGCTTCTTTGCTGTCTTTGGCCAGAACCTTATCTACTTATAATCCACCCCATGTTAAATGGTCCGTTTCCTGTGTGGTTACGCGTAAGAAGGTATTCAATACACACGTAGGTAGGTTGGAGTTTTTACAGCCAAGCATGCTGCCTTTAGTACCTTTCTGGACTGGGGCCACAGCCAATCTGTCTGGCTGTGGTCAAATGTTCCTTTCTTGCCTCTGAATTCAAATAGAGCCCCACTTCTCTGCCCTAGCCCACCCCCACCCCGCTATTTTGTGTGTTGGAAGCTATCTGTTGAAGTCTTTGTGCTGAAAGCAGTCATGTTTGTCAATGAGCTGTTTGATCTGTTCAATAGTAAGTAATGAAACATTCCATTCTTTCTCCTACTAAAAGTCTCAGGGTGAGTTACTGAGACTGTAAGTGCCAGTTGATGGAAAAGGGCTGGGATGGGGGCAATTTGTGGCTGATATCCCTACAACCTGGAGACTGCACAGAGTGCGATTTCTGCAGAAGGGACCTTTCCTTGACTGGTCTGGGAGGGAGGAGGGAGTCACAACATTTAGAATCCGATCCACCAGTACTTCTCTAAAACTGGTCTTTCCTTTGTTCCCCTCCAGAGGTCAACGGGTCCGGAAGCATCCCCAGGAGTCGGACAACACCACCTTCAGCGGGGCAGAGGACAACTGTGACAGCCGGTCACACCTCAGCAACGCCTCCGCCCCCAGCCAGCCCGAGGCCGGGCCCAGCCGAAAGCGGTCCCGGGCCTCGGACGAGTCGTGCCCGGAGCCAGAGACCTCGCACGAGGGGGGGCGAGGGAGCCCCGAGCCAGGAGCCGAGCCCAGCAGCAGCGAGATCGAGCTGGTCTTCCGGCCGCACCCGGTCTTGGTGGATAAGGGGGCCTACTCCCAGACCAGGTGAGCGCTCAGCCGGAAAGGGTCAGTCAAAGGCAGGTCCACCGTTTGGCTTTGGAAACACCCTCCAGTTTTTGCTCCGAACATTTTGGGGAGACATTGGCATCCAAGAGGCGACGAGGGGTGCACGAAATTTTGTGCAGTGTGGAGAAAACGGACCTGAAACCACTCCCCCTATTCTCTCTCTCATAATGCCCAAGGGGGATATGTGCAGAAATTGAATTTAAGCACTTTTGGAACAGATTGAAGGGAAACGTCTTCGCACAGCATCTCATTCAGCTGGGGAACTCACTGCCACAAGAGGGAGGGATAACGGCTTCCAAAGGTAGATGAGATCCTTTCATGAACTGTTGATGGCTACCAGTCAGGATGGTCGGGTTGCGAGAGAGAGAGGTCTGCAAGCTGGACTCCAAAGAGCTCCTTTCTGGCCTTGATCCAGCTTCTGCTGAACCCCACGGTGCTTTCTGCATTCACACCAATTAGAGGCCTGAGTTTACTTGCTCTATTTCCCCTCCTCTTCCACCACTTAGCTTCCTGTTTCTTCCCATCTTGGACTTTGCTTACTTTTCTTTTTTTCTTTGATATTGTTGGTTTTAATTCTTGTTTTATATTGCTCGGATTGTAAGCCGCCCAGAGTAGATTTGTTTGAATCTAGATGGGCAGGATAAAAGCCGAATGGATGGATGGATGGATGGATGGATGGATGGATGGATGGATGGATGGATGGATGGATGGATGGATGGATGGA